GTCTTTCGATATATTTTGAATATATACATTGTAGATGTGGTACGTCTTTTAATAGATTTTCACTTGATACATTGTAGATATGGTACGTGTTTTAATAGATTTTGATTATATACATTGTAGATATGGTACGTGTTTTAATAGATTGTGACTATATACATTGTAGATGTGGTACGTGTTTTAATAGATTGTGACTATATACATTGTAGATGTGGTACGTGTTTTGATAGATTGTGACTATATACATTGTAGATGTGGTACGTGTTTTTATAGATTTTGACTTTATACATTGTAGATGTGGTACGTGTTTTACATGGCTGCCGTCTTCGTGAGTAACGTCACTATGTGCCTTTGGACTATGTCCGATTTTCGGACAGATCATTACCTCAACACTTACGCACCGAACACTTTCGAGTCCTTTGAGAACTCCTCCGTGAAATGGGCGCGCCTGATGCTGACCGACCCCGTATTGTCTGTGCTGGCAGTCGACACGCTATGTATGCTTGTGTTCACGATGGAGTTTTTGGTCCACTTTTTCATTTGTCCTCGGAAATATCTTTTCCTCAAGCGCCCCATTAACACGGCAACCCTTACTGTGATTTTTATTATGTGGATAGGTTTTGTTATGGAATTCAACAAGGAAAGAATGGCTATTAACAAAACGACACGACACTTTTTCTTCGCCTGTAAGGCTCTAACCATGACGAGACTGCTGTTGTTTCTGAGACTCGAGAGTCAATTCCGAGCTCTGCGCGTGCTTCTCAAGAGTATTCAAGCAAGTCTACTGGAGCTGATGCTGATGATTCTCACGTTCGCGATAGCCGCCCTCATATTCGGCAATATGCTTTACTTTATACAATTGGAGGAAACGGACGGCAATGATAGTGTTTATATTTGGGTATGGTGGGCTATCATCACCATGACAACGGTTGGTTACGGCGACTTCTTCCCTACGTCGTTGCTTGGATACTCAGTGGGAGTGATCTGCGCGATATGCGGAGTGGTCATCCTTTCTCTGCCTATAGCGGTAATCTCGTCCAATTTCTCCATATATTACTCGCTTAGCATGGAGAAGGGAAGGATGGCAAGATTACACAAACACCATATTCGCAAAGAGAGCCTGGCAGACAGTAATCAGTCAGGTTAGGTGATAACACATCGCAAATTACATAAAGGACGGACTTCTTCTCATTGTTCAGTATTTTTAGCATTGCATTCTGTATAAGGATAATAAGCTATTATAAATCCATCTCATTCCGTTTTGACATTACAAATCCGATCCCCGTGAACTGTATAACAAACGTGAGTGGAATGACTTCTCTTTGTCGTAGTGTTTAACACTATAGATAGCACTAGTCTGCTTTCAAATCAAAGTGTTTTCCCCACCAGACCATAACGTTTGCCTTTCTGTAATCCAATGCGCCTTGTAAATAGCAGAAACGGTGGAAATAACTTATATACGTATATACCTCAACGTTGGGAATATTGCCGAGCAGTAGGACGGATATGGTGGTGCTGTGATTATCCGATCGTACTGTGGTTTACTATCAATTGTACATGTATACATAGCTCCAATGCGTATTATGGATAAATATAACCACCGGAGATAACAGAGAAAGAGAGAGACGGTGAACTTCTTGTGGAAGTATACATAAGAACGAGTTAAATAAATTATTGTAAAGTCGTATTTACTTATTTGAAGCAAATCGTATATAATCTTGATATTTCTATTATTTTTTTCACATTTGACGCGCACCTCGACTGAGAGATGCTGTGTGATCAGCAGACACTATCACTATAATCTATAAACAATACGTCCGCTAGTTGGGCAGTTAGCTTATCTCTTAAAATTAGCCCTGGGTACTACAAACTAGAATGTGTATGGTATAGGGTGTGACACCCTCTAGTATAGGGGTCAGGGGTCAATCAGTTTGTTCTGCCAGTTTGATAGTGTATTTTAAGAGATTTGCATGGGATAGGTTTTGTGTGGCTTGTTAAAAAAATAAATATGTACGCTAGTTGGGCAGTTAGCTTATCTCTTAGAAGTAGCCATGGGTACTACAAACTAGAATATGTATGGTATAGGGTGTGACACCCTCTAGTATAGAGGTCAGGGGTCAATCAGTTTGCCTCTGCCAGTCTGATAGTGTATTTTAGGAGATTTGCATGGGATAGGTTTTGTGTGGCTTGTTAAAAACAATATGTACGCTTGTTGGGCAGTTAGTTTATCCTATAAATGTAGCCTTGGGTACTGCAAACTAGAATCTATATGGTATAGGGTGTGACACCCTCTAGTATAGAGGTCAGGGGTCAATCAGTTTGACTCTTCCAACCCACTGATATTGTATTTTAGGAGATTTGCATGGGATAGGTTTTGTGTGGATTTAATAATAAATATGTACGCTTGTTGGGCAGTTAGTTTATCCCTTAAATGTAGCCCTGGGTACTACAAACTAGAATCTATATTGTATAGGGTGTGATACCCTCTAGTATAGAGGTCAGGGGTCAACCAGTTTGACTCTTCCAACCCACTGATATTGTATTTTAGGAGATTTGCATGGGATAGGTTTTGTGTGGATTTAAACAAAAATGTACGCTTGTTGGGCAGCTAGTTTATCCCTTAAATGTAGCCCTGGGTACTACAAACTAGAATCTATATGGCATAGGGTTTGATCCCTCTAGTATAGAGGTCAGGGGTCAATCAGTTTGCATCTGCCAGTCTGATAGTGTATGTTAAGAGATTGGCATGGGATAGGTTTTGTGTGGATTTAAAAATAAATATGTACGCTTGTTGGGCAGTTAGTTTATCCCTTAAATGTAGCCCTGGGTACTACAAACTAGAATCTATATGGTATAGGGTGTGACACCCTCTAGTATAGAGGCCAGGGGCCATATACACTTGATATATAGCGATCGTCAATCCAGTCACTAACTCGCACGTGCGCTTAAACGTGTGTGTACGAGTGACCTGTTCTGAACGAGTAACTGTGTAGATCGGGGTACATAGCCGCTCAAATAACCATATTAGTTATTAGCTGACTGAATAAAAATATCAGTAAAAAATATTATGAATATCCACAATAGAATGATATACATTTTTTTTACAAAATATATGATCATAACTTGTCATTGAATTGAAACAGGTGTCCTGTTTTAGAAGAACACTTTCCAGGTGTAGCGCTAAAATACACAACTGAGAAACGAATACCTAGATGTTGTGAACGGTAAAACATTAAATATATATATAAAAACAACTTCACTGGTAAACATTTTATCTTTATATTACACACAATTTGGTTCGTATTTATTTATAAAGTTTCCATTTTTTTAATTTCCGAATGCAATACAGCATATAGGTTAAATGTATACATAATACACAATTATGGAACCCCATACTAACGTCCAGATTCGATGTTAAGGGAATGCGCCTGCATGCGATACTGACTCGACAGTTTTTTGGTAATAGAAGTTAAAGGCTTTACCGGAGACGTATACTACATGTATTATACGTCTCTGGCTTTACTTAATAGAATTAAATATCAAAAGTATCGACAAGATGTCTATATAAGTAACATTTAGAAGATGTTTCCACGCAATTCTTGAAGAAATATGTCATGCAGACGTTATAAGTATACATTTATAACCAAAAATGAAATTTCAAAGTCAATTGGCATTGTCTTTGAAGATGATACAGTATTGAACTCTAGCAATATATCGTAGCACTTTCATGTTTCTTCATTTTCCGAGGTATATATAATCCGATATATGTCAAATTCAGTTTGTACAGTCAGATTTATTGTAAGTGACGAAAGATGAGGAGCGGTTACCTGAACGGACAACAAAAAACACCACCTGCATGCCTCTAACCTCTAACCACTAACACACAGTCCGTCGGATGGGACTATAAATGGTGGCCCGTGTGAGAACTGTTCAACCTTTAACTTGTACGGAAAAGATCCCTGTGAGTTTTTTCGGAAAAGAATAGGCGTGATAACACAGAGGACAGGGCTAGATTTTCGTTTGGCCGTTAGAACTAGACTCTCTTTATTAGACATACCAAACTAAATTTTAAAGAATATTTAAGAGCTGGTGTGACTCGCGGCGACTCAGTACATCACTTCCTGTCCAGACTTGGTGGTGTGTATAGGGTTGGGCCTAGGAGCCGTCTTATAACAATTAAATTTATATATTAATACATATAGGATAGACGGCTCCTTATCTCCTCTGTCTCCCTCTTCTATCCCTTCACTCCATACTTTATCCCTTATACTCATTTTCCTGTCTTTTCTTCGTCTGCTGGATAACCGAACTACTCGGTAGTGAAGCGGACGTAAAATCCATCAATCAATAATTTGTCACTTATCGTACCGCCAACTTATTTCAAGGCCCCTCTTCATTGTTTCTTAAAACATCGTTTGTACAATTCTATCTATCAAATAGATCACAAATATCCGTGATCCGTACGTCTCTGGTGTAAAGTCATTATACATTAGAGGCGCATATACAAAATATATCTTAGGTCCAGTGTTTTTTTTTCTGTTAATTTCTAATCACCATACAATATCAGAGAAAGAGTAAAGAAAAAAAATCGTCCTTTACTTCTGTAAAATGTTAAAATATCAGTGCTCTGTGGAAATATAAACTTAAATGAAGAGGAGAATGTGGATTTACTCCTGCGTATGATCAGAGACATATACGTCACTGGTCTGGGGGTAGGGTGCCCAATTCCGGCATAGCGTTCGGAATATTACTGTGCACCCTAGGCCTGGCCTAGGCCTATATCTATAGCCTGACGTCATAGCGCGCGCTATCCAAGATGGCGGCGCCTGGTAGTAAATTGACAGATGGCAGTTTTATATACTTATTTTGGTTATAAGACTGCTTTTAAAAGGTATGGACATACTATAAAGGTATAGATAAGTAGAATACTACACACTATATATAACCTAGCATGATTTTTTTTATCTGACAATGGTTATTTTAGTAATAAGAACATATTGAAATATAGTTGAGTCTAGCGAAATGCGTGAGATGGACAACACGTGCTTACCAGCCTGTTACAAATACTCTCTCGATACAAAAATATTGGTCTCCGTACCGATGTATGTGTATTTAATTGTTAAATAGAATAGAGGGTTTGCATAAAGCCTATAATATGACTCTGGCATGGCCTGGAGAGAGCGAAGCTCGTACATTTGTTTCGATAGTATAGTATATTTTTTGAATCATAACATTACCCATTGCAATTGTAATACATACAAAATTTACATGTAATTGTTTTTTTTTTATATAATATACTTGAATCTGTTGCTGGGCTGAAAACAGGCATTGCCTGAAACGAGAGAAGCGTTTAAATGCTGTTTTTTTTTTCAATCTTATTTTCTAAATAACATTATTTAAAATAATATCTATTTATTCGTTTTATAGCGATAAAGTAATTAATGTAAAATTAATAATAAGTAAAAAAAACATTCGAATGAATTATACAGTTCAAGAGAAAACACAAATGCATTTGTTACTGTTGCATTTAATTGCCCCGTCTATGGCCTCAGCGAAATGTTGCGGAAAGAGTGAGGCCAGTAGAGGGACTTCATATTTGAAGATGTATTGTTTATTAAATATAACTGTTATTATCTGTTATTATAAAAGTAAAGTATATTGGTGATTAAATTCCAATTTTATTTTCCGACATGATATACTTTGCCTGATCCCTCTAAATCGTGTAAAAAGAGAATCACAATAGCCCAAACATATCCGGATTTCCGTCTGGTTTGGTAGTTACGATGTACTTCCGATTTGGGTGGAGAGAAGAAAAGACTGAAAATTTGAAAGAAGCTTCAGTTTCTATAATTTTTAGCTCACCTGGTCCGAAGGACCATGGTGAGCCTATGCCATACCACAGCGTAAGTCGTCCGTCAGTCAAATTTTCCTTTAAAACGCTACTTGTCCTGAACGGCCAAGCTGATCCTTAGGCCAAGTGGACTCAATTTTGTATAAACGGTGGGTGTTGCCCCCCTGGGGGAAGAGAGGCGGAGCCCAACAGGGGAAATAGAGGTAAAACCTTTAAAATCCTTCTTCTACCATAGTGATTAAGGGATTTTATCCTAATTTAGTCTGGGGCATCCTTGGGCCAAGGGGACTTAATTTGTATAAATGGTGGGTCTGGTCCCCCAGGGGGCTGAGGGGCGGGTCCCAATAGGGGGAATATAGCAAATTCTTTAAAATCCTTCTTCTGTAGGAATGAAAGGATGTGGTCCATATTTGGTCAGAACCATCTTTGGGGGAAGGGGAACAATTTTGTATAAATGGTGGGTCTGGGCCCCCTTGGGGCTGAGGGGCGGGGCCCAATAGGGGAAACATAGCAAATTCTTTAAAATCCTTCTTCTGCTGTAGGATTGAAAGGAATTTTTCCATATTTGGTCCGAAGCAGCCTTGGATGAAGTGGAACCAATTTTGTAGGGAAAACAAGGGGAAACATAGCAAATTCTTCAAATACCTTCTTCTGTACGAATGACAGAATTTTGTCCAAATTTGGTATGAAGCATCCTTGGGTGAAGGGGAACCAATTTTGTATAAACAGTCTGTCCAACCCCCCTGGAGGCAGAGAGGCGGGGCTCAATAGGGGAAATAGAGGTAAAACCTTTAAAATCCTTCTTCTACCATAGGGATTAAGGGATTTTATCCTAATTTAGTCTGGAGCATCCTTGGGCCAAAGGGAATCAATTTTGTATAAGCAGTGGGTGTGGTCTCCCAGGGGGCAGAAGGGCGGGGCCCAATAGGAGAAATAGAGGTAAAACCTTTAAAATCCCTCTTCAACCATCGAGATTAAGGGATTTTATCCTTAGTCTGGAGCATCCTTGGGCCAAGGGGTCTCAGTTTTGTTTAATTGGTGGGTATGACCCCCCTAGGGGCATAGGGGTGGGGCTCTGTTTGAAGGTTGTTCTCGCTATATCTCAAGTACTGGATGGATCTTTCTGAAATTTTATATGTACTTACAGCACCTACAATGGAGTGCTATACCTTTACTTCATACCAATTATTCGTGACGAAGGATTTTGGAAGCATAGTATTTTGACGTTACCATGACTTCAATTGTTCGTACATGTTACCGGAAAAGAGCTTCGCTTCTTTCGCCTTTGGCGCAAGAAGAGCTGCGCTCTTATAATAAAAAAACCCCGAAAAATTGTCTGCCTAGATGTTAATTTCCCGTCGGTGAAGTTTTCAATGACCTCGGCTTCCATTCTCTGACCCTACGTCCGGAGTCGGGAGGGAAAATTTATCTTCCGGCCGGAAAGTGAGACATCTCGCATCTACCAATGGGTCTGATGGTGCTGGAACCTCCTTTGTACCGTTGTCCACCTCATCATCAACGTCATCTTCTTCCCCTGAGGATGGAGTATCTCTGTCCTCTAGTTTATCTCCTAAACTGATGTGCTTACCAATACTTCAGTATGGTGAATCACTGGCTATCGTAACATCAATGGGGGTGGCGAGACAGACACCTCCGCCTCTGCCTGGCAGTCGTAACATCGATGGGGGCGGCGAGACAGACACCTCCACCTCTGCCAGGCAATCGTTACATCAATGGGGGCGGCTAGACAGACACCTCCTCCTCTGCCTGGCAATCGTAACATCAATGGGGGCGGGGAGACAGACACCTCCACCTCTGCCCGGCAATCGTAACATCAATGGGGGTGGCGAGACAGACACCTCCACCTCTGCCAGGCAATCGTAACATCAATGGGGGCGGGGAGACAGACACCTCCACCTCTGCCAGGCAATCGTAACATCAATGGGGGCGGGGAGACAGACACCTCCACCTCTGCCAGGCAATCGTTACATCAATGGGGGCGGCGAGACAGACACCTCCCCCTCTGCCTGGCAATCATAACATCAATGGGAGTGGCGAGCCAGACACCTCCACCTCTGCCTGGCCATCGTAACATCAATGGGGGGGGGGGGGAGACAAACACCTCCACCTCTGCCTGGCAAACGTAACATCAATGGGGGCGGCGAGTCAGACACCTCCACCTCTGCCAGGCAATCGTAACATCAATGGGGGCGGTGAGACACACACCTCCACCTCTGCCTGGCAAACGTAACATCAATGGGGGCGGCGAGTCAGACACCTCCACCTCTGCCAGGCAATCGTTACATCAATGGGGGCGGCGAGACAGGCACCTCCACCTCTGCCTGGCAATAGAAACATCAATGGGGGGGGCGAGACAGACACCTCCACCTCTGCCAGGCAATCGTTACATCAATGGGGGCGGCGAGACAGACTCCTCCACCTCTTTCTGGCAGTCGTAACATCAATGGGGGTGGCGAGACAAACACCTCCACCTCTGCCTGGCAAACGTAACATCAATGGGGGCGGCGAGTCAGACACCTCCACCTCTGCCAGGCAATCGTAACATCAATGGGGGCGGGGAGACAGACACCTCCACCTCTGCCAGGCAATCGTAACATCAATGGGGGCGGGGAGACAGACACCTCCACCTCTGCCTGGCCATCGTAACATCAATGGGGGGGGGGGGAGACAAACACCTCCACCTCTGCCTGGCAAACGTAACATCAATGGGGGCGGCGAGTCAGACACCTCCACCTCTGCCAGGCAATCGTAACATCAATGGGGGCGGTGAGACACACACCTCCACCTCTGCCTGGCAAACGTAACATCAATGGGGGCGGCGATATAGGCACCTCCACATCTGCCTGGCAATCGTAACATCAATGGGGGCGGGGAGACAGACACCTCCACCTCTGCCCGGCAATCGTAACATCAATGGGGGCGGGGCGAAAGACACCTCCACCTCTGCCTGGCAGTCGTAGCATCAATGGGGGCGGCGAGACAGACTCCTCCGCCTCGGCCTGGCAATCGTAACACCAATGGGGGTGGCGAGACAGACACTTCCACCTCTGCCTGGCAATCGTACCATCAATGGGGGTGGCGAGACAGACACTTCCACCTCTGCCTGGCAATCGTACCATCAATGGGGGTGGCGAGACAGACCCCTCCACCTCTGCCTGGCAATCATAACATCAATGGGAGTGGCGAGCCAGACACCTCCACCTCTGCCTGGCAAACGTAACATCAATGGGGGCGGCGATATAGGCACCTCCACATCTGCCTGGCAATCGTAACATCAATGGGGGGGGGGCGAGACAAACACCTCCACCTCTGCCTCAGGGACATCTTTAACAGGCACACTAGCTATATAGGGGTGATTCTTCCCTCATCCTCAGCCAGGACATTGATGATATCGCCTGACTGGCTTCTCTTTAGGCTCAGAATGCTCAGTCCTTATTTTGTTGTGGCGGGATGGGGACACCCTGGGCTTGGTAGTCACCTTCCTGTTGTGGATCGCCACAAAATGACAAAACAAATCGTTGCGCCGGAAATACTTCCGATTACACCGTCTACAATTATAGCTCTGCCTGTAGACATCATGGGTCCTCCAGTGATGGTTCAAGTTCCCCCGGGAACTGAATTGTCTGTCAGACATCGCAGAGGTACATCTGTAAAGTAAGATTTGGCGTCTTGATTTACGTCCTGTCTCTGAACTTTCTATAGGTGTAACAAGACTTCTCCAGTAGCGCAGTGGTGGACTATTGTACGTTTTAAGTTTGTCGAGGCGTCATTAGGGCTTTTCACCAACTGGTGAAAAGACCTATTGTTTTTGTTATGTTTCTTATTCTTATTCTTATTATTCTTCTTCCGTACTTTGTGAATTCTGTTTCTTTTGATTGGTAAAAGATAGGTTTATAGTCTTTTAGGTATGTTGTAGGAAAAGGTCTGAAGCTGATCAAGCAACATTTGCAAGTAGGTCAAAAATTAAATATGGCCGCCATGACGTCATAGGTCAAAATCGTAAAATGGCCATAATTAAAAAACGTTTTAATCTACAGAATTGATGCAATTATATTATAGGTAGATAACCGTCAGGGCTAAATTTTTGGTCAGTCCGTAAGTTTGAAAAAAGGTCGAATAAAAAAGCTCGCTGTTGGGTCAAAGCTCCCCATTTTTTTAAAACCATTATTATTTTTTTTTTTTTTTTAATGCTTCTATAGATCAGTGTAGAATGCCATTCCGATGAATTTAATGTCTTTAGCTTTTCTGGAACATTTACCGTTAACGTTGTACGCCATTTTGAATATTTCCTTTGATCTTTTAAAAAATTCGCAATATTTTAAAACTTGTTTTACTCCAATATCAATGCCAAATATTTTGTTTATTTGTTATGAAAAAGGTTTCCCCAGATGTTCTCTAACATTTAAAAACAAAATCAACTTCTTTGAAAAATCAAAATGGCCGCCATGACGTCATACTTTAAAAATCTTAAATTGGCTATAACTAAAACACAGTTGAATTTACAGCCTTTAAGTACTGACATCATTTGTAGATAAAGTTCAGGGCTAACTTTTTTCCATCGTATATTATTACTTAAAAGGTCAAATGAAAAAGTTTGCTGCTGGGTCAAAGGTCACAATTTTTACAAAATATTCATTTTTCATTTTTTTAAAGAATTCTTCAATACATCGATGAAGAATGTCATTCCGATGAATATGATGTCTTTAGTTTTTTTGTAACATTTACCGTTAACATTGTACGCCATTTTGAATATTTCCTTTGATCTTTTAAAATGCTGACAATATGTTAAAACTTCAACGATCTTCTTCTCCAATTCTGCCATTGCAATATTAACCACAATTAATAAATGTATTCCTCTAGGGGCCCTTACCAACTTATGTTACTTTTTGGAGCCATTTATATTCCAAGATGGCCGCCACGAACTCTGATTGGGTAACAGCCTATACCAATATATTTCGTTAACAATATCAAACACGAGGTTGATCTTTGGATATCATTTAGAGATAGTCAAGGGCAAACTTTTTCTCTCATACTGTTTTAACAAAAAATGTCAACTTCCGGTTTTCGGCAGGGGTCAAAGGTAAAAGGCACTATATTGGGTACCAACCTTAAAAAATCTTCTTAAGTTCCACATGGTCTAGAGTCTTGATATTTAATCATAAAGATTCTGAGATGTCGGGGTATCAGGTTTAAAAAAATGGTTGACATTGATCAATTATCAAGGTCACAATCAAGGTCACCAACTTCATATGTGCTATTTCAAGAAAATGACTTCAACAAACTTCTTCTAAAGTTCTACAAGGCCTAGAGTCCTACTATTTGATACATTAACATGGTCAGATGATTGACTATCAAGTTTGAAAAAATGATTGACCTTGAATGACTTTCAAGGTCACAGAGGTCATATGTGTAAAAATATTGAAACCACTTTTTCTGAATAACCAATAACTCCGGGGTAACGATGTTTGGCAAAGAAGCATGCTTGAATGAAGGGCTTTAAAGTGTGTGCAAATGAACGACCTTGACCTACCCCAAATATAATTTCAAAGGCGAAAGTCAAAAACCGTTTTCATTTTTGTGCGATTGTCAAGTGCTTTCAGTACTCTCAGTACTTTGATTTGTATCAAGACATCTAATACACGCTGGTAATACTACATCGATTACTACGCACTCTCAATCTTAAAAGTGTGGACAGTTTACATCTCGACTGCAGTGGGTAAACATCAGCCTTTCACTGGCATGGCAAACCCGACCGATAGACAAAAAGCTAGTCTAAATTCATCATCCTGATGTACATAGTGGACGGACTATATGACTCTTACGGACTACCTTCGTATACAACTAAGCCCATTGGCTGCCTATATTTATCCGTTCTTTCTATGACGTCATTTCGCACTCGGTGAATCCCCCACTACTTAGCCAGCTACTGTAGACTTGCACAGGTTATTATTAGAAGGCCTAATCAGTACTTGCAGTGAAAAGCCTGTCAAATTGTTAGCCAACAATTTCTAGTTTTCTTTGTTTTCTTTATTTTGTAAGAGGACCTTTTCTTCACAATCTGATAAGCCTTTGTCGGACCCTCCCAAACTAGTTGTAGCTTCTGTATCAGTCCTTAATTTCTTCCTTTTTGGGTTGAAAAACCATACCAGTTCTCCCACTTCATACGGTCTTCCATATATCCTATCATAATACTCCTTTTGCAGCTTAACCCTTTCACCCCTATGTAACTTCAGTTGACTTTACCATGCATCAATATGGATGATTCCATTATGGTCTACAGTTGTGAAAATTAAAAGGTTCAATTAGAATATAAGTATGCTGCCTTAACAAGTAAATTACAAAGTTTGGATCCTTTCAAAATTTTATGGGAAGAACACTAAAGGACTATTGAAATAAGGAATGTTTATTTTTTTTTTGCAAGTTAAAACAAGGATTTAGGACTTAACCTCTCTAAAGGAAAGAAAATATATATCTATGTAATTGTCACTGTTTGAATCCAATATTGCAAAATTAAAATATCAAAACTTGTTCACATTTTGAATTTTGCTCAGGAGCTGTTGCGGATGTTTGGCATTCCCTACATCGTCAGTCCGATTGGAGGCTGAGGCTCAGTGTGCGTTTATGGACCTCACCAATCAAACAGAAGGATCCGTCACCAATGACAGCGATATCTGGTTATTTGGCGGGACCTGTGTCTACAATTTTTCCAGAGAACCAATATAGATATCAATTAGGTAAAGTCTGTTAAGATGTTTAGCTGACATTGCTCAAAAGGCCTTGTAATCTTATGCTATGACAGCCGTCAACTTCCCAATTAAAACACTTCTAGCCTAGAATGGCTGATTTGATTTTAACAGTTTGGTCTTTCTTAAATTTTTCCTGTCTTATTCCTCCTTGTGTTATAACAAATCTCTTAAAATTTGAATGCAACTTTCCTTGAAAAGATTCCCCTAGCCCCAATTTGAAATTTAAAATAAATAACACCAATTGACATGCTGTAGATTAATTATATTGAGCATGTTTTTACTGTGCTCTGAAGACGGCCTCCCTTTGGCTGAAACATGTCAGCACGTAGGATGTAAATATAACATTACATTTTGAACCGGATTCAGTGGTGTTGTTGCTCATCATTTCTACTTTCATTTGCTTTGCATGTTTTTGTTTGTATTCGCTTTCAACATACCTAACAGAAACTGTAACTTTTATGTGAAGTAAAACATTCATGTTCATGAAACACAAACTATTGTAATTATTAAGGTAAGGTGGCTAAATTAAGTGTGTTCATCATAAATTATCTACAATATATTTAACTCGTTCACCCCTGAAATTTAATGATGAACTATTCTAACCTTTGAATTAGAAGAGTTCAAATGTATCTTTAGGGATGAATGAGTTATTGGTTATTATTGAAAGAAATAAAGAAAATTTATTAAACAGACTGATGCATGTAGAATTTTCTCAATCCAGTTACATATAAATAGCATCTCCAGAATTATGCATCATAGACTTATTCTTATCCAAAGTGTGTTTGTTTTAGGTTTGTGCCAAGAGAAAATGATCAACATCGGCCTGCTGCGTGGCAGTGACTACACCTTGGGGGTACAGAGGGTCGGTTCTGTGTCTGTTCTGGAGATCATGGCCGTTTCCAGGGGAAGGAATCCAGGCACTTGTTGACAAGTAAAGCAAATATTACTTTACATTTGAATAGTATTCAAAAATTGGTTTTACTGGAATCTGTTGCCTTCAATCATGAGAAAATAATTGTGCATGGTAGTGGTCACAAAATAGGCTCCTTGATTTCATATATTATGTAAATATTGTATTACAACATGAGAATTGCTTGTGATAGACATCCCCAGTGATTATGGTCATAAGGTTCCTCGACACATGGTGATGTGGCCTGGTGTTGTTTCAGGTCCTGGTGGGACAGAATAAGACATCAAGATCAGGAATAAACTCAGGAAGCTGGATATTAACAAAGGTGACTATTTCTTTACAGGTACTTCTCATCACTCCTATTGTACAGACAGACAAATTTTTAAATATGCTTCATTTTTCTGAATTTATTCCCACAGATAAATTACAAATACACGAGCAGAAAAAACTAGTAAAATGTTTTTTTTTTTTTTTAAGGATTTTATTAAGTGTAAAGCATAGCAGATTATACATTTTCAAAAGAATTTCTAGTTTTTCTGATGATATTTTCCAGTTTAAGCTCAAAGACTGTTCTCAAAATATCTCAAAATATCTCAAACCCTGATTGAGGGTTATAGTTATTGCTCCCATTTATATTTTGCAAAATATTTTGGTAGGAGTGTCTCTGAAACTATTTAATGATGTCTTGTAAATAATGTATAGCTGATCTACCATATCCAAGACACCTGTGATTTTGTATAGTGACAGGTTTGTTATCACTATGTTGATAGGATTTCCCAGCACAGCAGTTGTGGATGCTTACTTCAACCCACAAGTAGACCAGTCAGAGGAATTAAGCCGTCTCCTGGTCGCGACCTGACCTTGACCCAACCCACAAGTAGACCAGTCAGAGGAAGCCTTCTCCTGGTCGCGACCTGACCTTGACCCAACCCACAAGTTGACCAGTCAGAGGAAGCCTTCTCCTGGTCGCGACCTTACCTTGACCCAACCCACAAGTTGACCTGTCGGAGGAAGCCTTCTCCTGGTCGCGACCTGACCTTGACCTTCTCAGAGAGTATCCTTTGCGTGGCTGGGGTGACATGTATAAGTCATGTAGACCTTTATAGATTTTTCGTTTCTCGATGACATGTTTGAAATGTTGGGATGAGTATTTTTCCTACCTTTAAACCGGCGCTTCACACTGTTGTAAAATGTAAAATATATGGCCCACTCAATGTAATAACTGGTATTTATCAGAAGAAACAATGAATATACTAGTTTTCACTTTTGATAAAATACTAGTTTTCACAATACTAGTTTTCACTTTTAATAAACCAAAATGTAGCCATATTTTTCCTGACCTGGATCTAGTTATGCCAGAGAGAAATTTGGCTGGAGGAAAGAAAAGGTGGATGAGAATCTCCGTCCGGTGATGAAGAAGATGAACGAGAAACAGGTCAGTATACAAAACACTATACAATCCATTTAATGAGAGGCTCCCTGAGGATTTGTGGCTGATTAGCATATTTATCTTAGCAGTGTTTTTTCCAAAGGACCATAGTGAGCTTATGCTGTGGCGCAGCGTCCGTCGTCTACTTTTTCTTTAAAACCTATCTCCTCCTAAACACCAGATAGGATTACAACCGAATTTAGTCTGAAGCATCACTAATGGAGGACAATCATTTCTTAAATAAATGAGGGTTAGTTCGACCCCTGAGGCCAAGGGGGGCGGAGCCCTGAAGGGGAACTTAGCTAAATTTGCTTTAAAACGCATCTCTTCCTAAACCCCAGAGACGATTTTAACCAAATTTAGTCTGAAGCCTCAGTAGGAAAGGGCAATAATTTCCTAAACAAATGAGATTGGTTCGACCCCTGAGGCCAAGGGGGCGGGGTCGGGTCCTGAAGGGGAACTTCGCTAAATTTGCTTTAAAACGCATCTCCTGCTTAAAGCCAGAGAGGATTTCAACCAAATTAGTCTGAAGCATCACTAGGGGAGGGCAATAATTTTTTAAATAAATGAGATTGGTTCGACCCCTAAGGCCAAGGGGGGCGGAGCCCTGAAGGGGAACTTAGCTAAATTTGCTTTAAAACGCATCTTCTCCTAAACCCCAGGGACAATTTTAACCAAATTTGCTCTGAAACTTCATTGGGGGAGGGCAATAATTGCCTAAATAAATGAGGTTGCTTCGACCCTTGAGGCCAAGGGGGCGGGGTCGGGTCCTGAAGGGGAACTTAGCTAAATTTGCTTTAAAACGCATCTCCTCCTAAACCCCAGGGACAATTTTAACCAAATTTGCTCTGAAACTTCATTGGGGGAGGGCAATAATTTCCTAAATAAATGAGGTTGCTTCGACCCTTGAGGCCAAGGGGGCGGGGTCGGGTCCTGAAGGGGAACTTAGCTAAATTTGCTTTAAAACGCATCTTCTCCTAAACACCAGAGAGGATTTCAACCAAATTTTGTCTGAAGCATCACTAGGGGAGGGTAATCATTTCTTAAATAAATGGGGTTAGTTTGACCCTTGAGGCCAAGGGGGCGGAGTTGGGTCCTGAAGGGGAACTTAGCTAAATTTTTGCTTTAGAACGCGTCTCATCCTAAAAACCAGAGACAATATTAACCAAATTTTCTCTGAAACTTCATGATGGGAAGGCAATCATTTCCTAAATGAGTCTGGTTTGACCCCTGGGACTAGGAAGGCCGGGCACCAAAGAGTGGATTGTACAAAATTTGGTCAAAAATATTATTGAGGAAGAACAAACATTTCTTAATTGAATGAGGTTGATTCGACCCCTGCGGTCTTAAGAAATGGTACAGCTAGATTATCATATTCTATGGTGTAGTTTTCATAAATTGTAAAAAATTGGGTTATAGGTTTATAAAAGCTTATACCGTAAATTTGCGGGTATAGAGCGCAGGTACGTTTTTGGGGGAATATTCGACGAAAGAAAAAAATAGAATTTGTTTTTATATTTAAATATTATAAAACATGATTATTGAATATGATGTAAACATAACAAAATATCAAGATATCTAGATGGCATAACTTAAAACTAAACATTGTTCTGTTGCTGAAAGAATACCATGCTTTCATTTTTTAAACCGGTTGTGTATTTTGCAGATTTCAAGGTAAAACGAAAAATGGTGCTTGTACTAAATCCATTAAATCTATAGTCTGTACTGAAGTAGCTAATCATGTACTAAATCCATTACATCTATAGTCTGTACTGAAGTAGCTAATCATGTACTAAATCCAT